TCAGCAGGACTATTATTTGAAGGAATATTATATGAGGGGACTTCAAAAAGCTCATGGAATAATGTAAATAAAGATGAGTTTATTTGGGTGCAAAAAAAAATTGAAATCCCTGCATTGTTTTTCATAATAAGCAAGAAGTTCATAAAAAACACTTATTTAAGTTCTAATTTATTATCTTATTTATGTTTACATAAGACTATAGTATGTATCTATTGTGCTGTCTTCATTTCTATCTATTGTGCTGTCTTCATTTCTTTCTAGCTTATCAAATCTAAAAACCAGCAGCTGTAAATTGCACCATTATTTATGTACAACTAAAAAAATGCTACCAACTAAACTATGACACGATGCTTCCTCATCAGTTGTTAGTCACATCCCTATTTCAAATGTTCACTGAAGTTCTTTTTAAATAGATGAAATGTTATTAATTGCACATTATTCATTCTTTTTCATTTGTCCCTCTTGCAACTAAAATCCAATATTTTTCAAATGACCTAGCCAAGTTCAGTATTCAAATGAGTTTATTCATAACAAAAAAAGTTTTGTTCTATGAGATTGACTTGTGTCCTTCCTTTTTATGTAATATCTAAATAATTCAGTTAATAATAAAAACATTTATGCAATTCAGTTTATTAGTTATCTGATAACAAAATATTGTTTTCAATATCACAGAGGAATAAAAGTGAGGAAGACAATATCGTCATCCTCTGAAGTTATATCATATCCTTGGGTCTATATCCTTGAATAAACTTTAGAGCACAGAAATAAAGGAATGAATGAATTATAGCTTAATCCATAAATTTCATTGATTTGTTGTACTTTTTTTTTTCCAGGTATTGATTGACTTATCTAGCACATCTCACCTAGATAACACGCCTAGGTGGTATCCTCTCAAAGAACAGACTGAAAGCATTGATCATGGCAAGTCCCATTCCAGTCAGAGCAGCCAGCAGTCCCCAAAGCCATCTGTCATCAAAAGTAGAAGTCATGGTATCTTCCCTGACCCATCCAAGGGTAGGAGATATTTTCAGTAGAGAATGTTATTTTGTTATTTGTTCACTCAATATCTTCTGAATGTGAATGTTTGTACGTCTAATATATAGTGAAAGTTTAGAACCTTTTGGGAAATATTTAACATAATATCATACAGAAAGTGATATATAAGGAATCAGGAGAAATGAACCTTATAGATTCAGCAGCATATATTAATGTGTATGACTTTGAGATCTTCTCTAATTCTCCACTTTCAGCCTATACAATGGAGGAGGTTGGGCTATATAAGCTATTTGATCTTTCCCTCTCTCATAACCTATGATAACATGATTTTAGAAAATGCATGGGAGTATTTCATATCAAATACAAAAAAAGATCTCTACTAGTTAATTAGCTAGACATAGTCATCATTACGTTTAGGTCTATTCCTTCTAATGGTTTAAATCTGTATTTTCATAAATATAGTCTTACTCCATAAATATAATTTGCAGTCATTTTTTGCTGATATCAAGAACATCTTCCCCATCATCAAAACAATTGGTATGCTGAAATTCACTCATCTTTCCTAAATGTTCAACTCAAACTAGTTCTTTAACTATTACGTTTTGAATACCAGTGCCATACACTGGATTTGACAATATGCATAGCCTTCTTATTTGAATGAGCTCTTTCTTTGGACGGTTCATTACCAACTATCTTACAACAAACAGTTCGCTCCACAAAGTGAGTTACCACCTATCAAAGATAACCTATGTGTTACCTGGTAATTATTAGAATTATTTATAAGTATTTAATCTAAGCATTTAATATATTTTTATATTGCACTTGTGTATTGCTTCCTTGTTTCCTCTTCTCATAAAGAACATCAAATTGAAAAACACTTTTTTGGTACATTAGAAGGGGATAGTTTAAGTGTTCTAGGGGATATAAATCTGTGCCCATGTTCAGTAGGCCATTGAGTCAATATAGGAAATGACTGACTACAATGGCTGCTACCAAGTATTGGTGAAGATATTTTATAGATCATTTATGGATTGCACGTGGTTACCTCGGCTCTGTCCTGCTTAACATACTGCAATATTGTTAGCATAAGACTGCTCTCCCAATAACAACCTCAGCAAATATGTGATTTGTGCATTTGCTAACATTTCCTGAGACTATAGTTCTGTAATCTCTATGTTTAATATGTCCTAGTAGTTCACACCCCTGCATCCAAGAATTTATTACGGTTTTGATTAAAAGCCCTCCTAGGGCAGTGTAAGACTGTCTCCTTCCTGACCTCTATTAGAATTTAGCAGAGTTGCTTGGGAAACCATAAATTAATACATTCCTTACTTGAGGTTTTTTACAATATATTCCTCTTTTCAAAATTATCACTTCTAAGACTATCATCCTTTGCCTTTCCTCCCCAAAACCGTTTCCCAAATGTTTAATCATATTACTGTATGGCGAGAAGTTGCATAAATGATCCCTAAAAGACAGAATTAACATAAAGCTTAGACGATTTTAAATGCGTAATCCAAGTTTGACAGAAAGACTCCTAGAGCAACTTTAACTCATGTTTTACCCTTTTGTAACCAGACATGCAGGTTCCCACCATTGAGAAATCCCATAGTAGTCCTGGTAGCTCAAAGTCATCATCGGAAGGCCATCTCCGCTCTCATGGACCATCTCGCAGTCAAAGCAAAACCAGCGTCACTCAGACCCATCTGGAAGACGCAGGGGCTATCTCAGGATTTTGGGAGCACACACATACCTAAAGCCGGCTTAACACAGACCCCTCTGAAAGCCGCAGGGGCTGCCATAGCTGCAGCCGAAGCCGCTGTGCAACAACTCCGCATTCAACCAAGTAAAAGACGCAAATAAATTCCTCAGCATGGCAGCTTAATGTTCATCTGTTGCCTTTCTTTCTTGCTGTCCTTCCCTGTTCGCTTCCTGTTTTTGGCATCCTCTGCTCACTCTGTTCTCTGTCCTTTTGTCTGTGTAAGAACAGTACCAATACATAAATATGCTCTTTCTTATTTAGATTTTTTTTTTTTTTAACTTACATAGACTGCAAAAAAACTGGCTGTTTCTCCTTTGTTTCCACCATCCATCCAACCTGGCTCATAGCATTTGGTCGCTGTGTCTGTGATGTTTGCAGGCAAAGCAACGTTGTGCGTCCTTTATGTGTGCGCTTAAATATCCTTTAGAATACGGGAACTATAAGCACAAGCGGCTGCCAGTCTTCCAGACATTACACCAAAAAAGCACATACACTTTAGTATTTAGAGCAGATTAGCAATGAGATTCTTGTTCCTGAAAACACTCAAAAATTTTAAGGAGAAAAGTAATGTGATCAACAGTCAAGTTCTAGAATCCAGGGGGAAAAGCCATTTTAAACCAGTGCTTCAAAACACCAATAAATTATGCATGTAAAATGTTGTAGCTTTCCATCTGTGCAACTTTCTAGTCTTTTGAAAAATCTGTGGGGAAAATTATATTTCTTATAGTCTTAAAATTAAAATATATATATATATACATATATGTGTATTAGCATATGTGAGGAGATAACACAACCTCATTGAGGAGCACAATGGGTCCATTCTGTTGGATCACACTTTGTACATGATAACAGAGAATATCCAGGCTATTTTTTTCGAATTATTGGAAATTCTATGAAAGTCACGATGTGCTATGTTGGTAGGTGTAAATCAAAGTATAGCAATTCACTCATTTTAACTACTGTATTTTCATTTCATTTGTGAAAATTTAGTCAGCTGATTCAATTATATAAAAACCTCGTAAGTGCAGATATTTCACAGAAGTTGGTACACTGTGACTTCTAAGAAGCATAAGCCAATGAAGATAGAGTGTTGTTCTCCCCTTCTCCCTAGTCGTCATTTTCAAAGAAACAGCCAGTTTTAACCCCCGTTAGTGCTGTGCATGTGGTGTCATTTCGGCATTTAAAAACACAACTTACTTAAATACTTAGAGCAAAAGAACACTTCTGTTTGCATGAATAACATTTAAGCTGGTTCCATCTGAGGATACATACTCTGGGTTTCCATTTCACCCACACCGCCACAGCAGCACATAAAAGCGGTCAGTCCAATCATGCCAGGAAGCAGCACAGACACAGCATAGCAGGAGTCCTCCCCATTCAAAGAACTCAGTCTGATAATCTGCCTCCACCAGCCAATGGCAACCAAGACCAAAGCCAGCTAGCCCTCAGGAAGGTGATGTCTGATGGACCAGTCAAGCCAGAAGGAGGTGAGCAGAAAAAGGCCCTGTTCAAAGCACACAGCAAGAACATCCCCCAAACTTAAAGCTCTCATCTTTAATTTTTAGAGATTGTCTGATAAATATGTTTATCCACTTTTTAATGTGCTTTTGTGAGCATGGCATTTCAGGACTTCATCATCACCATGTAAGTCCCAAGATCAGTCCCGTAATCTATTGACTACAGTGATTTGTATTTTTCTATGCACTGGGCATCTTTTGACATTTGTTGGGAAATAGATTAACAGTATTCATATGGCAGAATGGAATGCATGCTACTAACCTAATCTGTTCAAGCATGACTATAAATATGTTGCATTGTGATAAAAGTTTAAATTGCTCACAAGTCAAGTTAGCATACCAGTTGAAATGTAGATCAGTTTTGTTGCCTATTATTTCAAGTGTAACTTTTTAAAAATTCAGTGAATTTTGGAAATTCTTAGAGGAAAGTAAAGGAAAAATTGTTAACGCACTCACTCACCTTTACAGGGTGAAAGTTCTCTTGATCCTACAAGCAGACATTTTCCACTCGTGTTTCCATAGTTGTTAAGTGTATCAGATGTGTTGGGCATGTGACTATCCAAGTGCCTGTGTAATAAATAAAGTATCTTTATTTCATTCATAAACTACTGGGTTCTGAGCCATTGTTATATGATGCAGCTTAAAAATGAGTGTGTCAGTTTTTGTTTTCTCATTTGATTCCCTGAAATAGAGTATAGTTGCTGCTCCATTGCTAGTGAGAGCCATAATGATAGAACATTTGGGGGCACGACAGACTTCCAAGTTAGAAACATTGAAAGGTAGAAAGAAAATTAGTACCAAATAAAGCCATCAGAGCTTACATAAAAATGGAGATAAATAATGGAGTCAGGCTATACGAGGCATGTTTTCATTATTTCTCTCTCACACATCTAATCTGCTTGGCCATAGAAAGGCAAATCCCATGAGCCCTTGCTTTGAAGATGCAACTAACTTTGAGTGTTTGAGGAAAGCCAGTTTCTATCTGACCCTAACTGACCCCAAATAACACTGGCACCACCAGTGACAGGAATGAAACTAGGATGATTGTAAGATTATCTGTAAGTTTAATTTAAAAATACATATAAAAATTAAGTTTCCTTTAAAAAAAATAGGATAGAAGTGTTTGCCCCTTAAATACCTTTCAACTCTATAATCTTTAACTTCATGATTTTACATTTGCTACAAAATTGAAATCAAACCTTGCATTTTCTATTGCATTTCTATTTATTGTCAGGAAATTGAAAACATTTAATATGCTCTTCTCTCTATTCATCAGATATTTGGGAGCAATGGAGGAGGTATGTAGCAATATAGAGGTCAAACCACTGAGTCTTTAATTAGCCAAGTAATTAAGGAAATGATTAGCTTAAATATTAGTATAATTTTGAAAATGTCTTTAGTCAGACCAATTTGCAGACTATTACCAAAGCACTATTTCCCTTTACTCACCAGTTTACTAGTACCTTCCAAAAGTACTTAAAATCTCTACCTTTCACCTTTTCTTCTAGCAAATAAGTTCGTTGATTTCTCCATGTTATTCATTTTCTTACTTGAAATATTCCATTAATTATAAATGTCATCATAATCAAGCACTTTCCTTATTTCACATCTTAACTTTAATTATTGTGACTTAAGTATTACTATACAATATTTTGTAAGGTTTCTTTATAAATGTGGTTTCTAAAATTGCAATCAAAATATTGTAATCTCATTTCTTGAAATAATGTTCTAGTAGAGACATACATTTTAAGTGCCATGATTGAATTAGAAGTCATGTTTTACTGAAGTCACAAGCAAAGGAAAATCTGATAACATAGCATGTTTTCTTGTCTAATTTTGTTCTAATACATCATAAGAAAAATGCCCTGTTTTCAAAATATCATTTTCCTGCTACTATACATGTACCAATACTGTACTGAACCAGGCATTGTGCCAAACACCTAATAGCAAACATGCAATATAATTTGTTTGAAGCTTGGAAAGAAAAACTGGTCAAGATATAAACATATAAAGAGCCAGGGAGTTCCTGTTCACTAATCGCAGAAGTAAGTATTAGTAATCATTTTAAGTGTTTGGATAAAAGTCTCCCATTTCAACCTCACAACTGAGTTCATATAATCCCATCTGCATTCTGACAATACTACTCTGCATTGGAATAGTGCTTTACATTGTACACAGTGTTTTATCATCCTTTTTAGTTTCCATTTTGTCACTCCAAATAGGTAAAGTACTCATTCAGATATTCTTATCCCTGTTTGTGGGTGAACAATCAGTCAGAAGGGTGGGATTAGTGAGAGAAAAACGCCTAGACAGAAGTGTTCAGAGCTGACGATCGTAACACTTACGACTCCTACACCTTTGCTTTTTAAATACTTTGGCACCTTTGAAATCAAACTTCTCCAATTTCTTTAAAAAGAATTGTCATTTCCTTATTTGTAGCTTATCACTCAAGTTTTTGCAAATTATTGGAGGAGCTAGAAATGATGGCAGAAAAAAAGAAATGACGGTGGAATACAATTTAGCCTTTCTCTGCCTACGGGACCCTTCTTTCTAAAGGCTGGTGATTTAAGCAGCTGTAAACCAACATAAGAAAACTTTTTTTCATTGCACAAGCCCAGTGAGGCAGTAGGCAGTGTTTGCGGAGGAGGCTGTGGGTACATCTGTAGGCATTTCTATCGAGGGTGACAAAATTGTCCCTAAAGAGCCTTTCAGATATTTTTTTGTAAGCTTCTCAGCAGATTTCTGCTTGAACTAGCATAAAATATGGGTCAAGCATGAATTATGGAATGAACCAGCAGGAAGTTTTTTTGCTCCCTCCGGGGTTTAGTTGCATGCTAGGAAACCGGAAGGGAAAGATTAGACAAACTGTGCCAAATCATCCTGATATCTAAACAACTCTATTGTGTTTAGAAATCCCTGGAAATGTTTTTTCTAATCCACTTGATTTGGTTGAACACAGGTCCTGCCATTTCACATCACATAAACCCAGGAAGACAGCTTGAAAAGTAGTTTTAGTTTTCTGTTTTGTCTTGGGGTTTTTTTGTTTTATTTATTTATTTTTTAATTATACCAAAACCAGAAGATATTTATTCATTCATAAAACCTTAGAGATTAATTTAGGGGAACCAGCAGTTGGCATAATGGCTATGTCTCTGGACTCCCATGTAGTCAACCATGGTTCAAGTCCCAGACTCAGTGGCTTAAACTCACGCCGGGTGCATGTGCGTACATGCCCAAGAGCCTGAGAGAATGGAAGAGAAGGGATTGTGGGGGTGGCCATCTCCCCTGGGGGGTGATTTCTCACTTTCTGTCTCTGTCTCTCTCTGTCTTTCTGTTGAGCACATGTACCCTATAGCAAAAACTTCTCCCCCCCCAAAAAAAAAAATAGATTAATTAGGTAACACCTAATATATTAGATTTTAAGTACATATTGAAAATTCTTGAGTTATTTTTGTTTGATACTACGATTTTAATTATTACCTGTTTAGTTTTAGTTATTACCTGTTTTAGAGAAGATGAATCATTAAATAAATTGTGTGAGGAAATTGTGAGCTCTTTGGTGTGGCCAAATTATAGCAGAAAAGCCTGAAGCCACTTCCACAGACCGCTGCTGGAAACACACTTTCAATAAAGCTCACTGCGGCACCTGACAAAGAAGAGTTTCATGTCACTCTGTGGGAGCTGCTCTCTTGGGCGAGTGGTAGTGGGTGGCTTTTGTGGGGAGCTGGGTGGGCACTGGGGTGGAGGGAACTGGGTTACAAAGGGTGGTAGCTAAACAGCCTTCTGTTCTCTTCTAAACCTAGGTAGATGGTCATTTCTAGTCAGAAGTAATTTAGCCTTCTCTGTTTCTGGATAGGACAAGGCCAATAAGGGATGTGAAGGGGAAATCATAGAAATTAGGAAGTTCATTTGGAGGTGAAATTCTCTCCAACACCATATTCACGAAGTTGATAAACACAAATTTTACGTTCCACATTTCAATGTGTTTGTGCAAAATAATAAAGTAAAACATTTTTTAAAATAAAACCTTTGAACAGTTTAAAATATGCAGAAAATTGAAACCATAATGATGTGAACATAGCAAACATCCAACAAAAACTAAGAATCGATTGGGATAATTTTGACCATCAAAGTTTGAACATGCCTATTTCCTTGGGAGTGAGGGTTTTCTTTCATTGTCATCTAAAAAAATCAAGATGCTCTTTTGAAGTTCTGTTGTTTTGAGTTTCCACATTTAATTAGAATGATCGCTTATGTATTTTTAAAAATTTTCTTCGGTCCTATAAATTTACTGCTGGAATGTCTCTGCAGTACTCCGAGAGTCACAGGCAGTAACTGTATAACTCTGTATAGAGATGACACTATCTCGTATTTAGAGATCAACTCCACTGACCAACATCAAGGCTTACTTTTGCTCTCTTCCAGAGATAGCCATGTATTTATGCCCTGCCATTTATATGCATTGGGTCAGTCCACACTGGAGATTTATATGTTAATTTCATTTGACATTAATAGCAAGACCAACTAGCCCATACAAATATCAAACTGGGCTTCAAAATTGCTATGTCGTAGTCAGATGACCTATTTATGGGCTCTATAGTGTACATGCAACTATGAATATATGATCTAAAAGGAAGAAAAAGGCCTAATTTTTAACATACCAAGTTCCCTTAAATGCAATTTATGACATTTATAATTTTACAAATTTTAAACAATTTTAAAATGTAAGTTAACTATACATTGGGCTTCAGCAAATTATTTGCAAAAACTTAGTTTATTATAGTACTATCAGAGAACAGGACTGAGGAAATGGGACAGGCAAGGAAATGCTGGTGGAGGAGAGAAGTCAGAGGCATGGAGCATGGGGAGACTGATGGAGACACAGTGGGGAACACTGGTCAGTCAGGGTACAACATGAGCATGGGGCGGGAAGGTTCTCCCCTTGGTAGAAGGAACACGGAACCAGGGGAATACTCTTCATGAGAGGTGGAGGAATTCAAAGATCCAATTTGGCTAATAATTAATATCTAAATCCAAATAACTAACTACCCATGAGTTATGTGATTAGTTTTCCACCTTCATCCACATGTCTCACATGCATTATGTAAAGTCATGATATTTCACTCATTCTCCATTGTGCACGATGACTGGGGAGGGGGGGATTTGAGGGTATGGGGCAGGATGAAGGAAATCTTCATGTGTACTAAACCTAACTGAAAATACTGTTTTTAAATTTGTATTTTATTAATGCAACCTGAGTGTAAATATATAATGACTTAGAAGCCAAAAACACTTAATGGACTTTCTGTGAAAACATATTACATCAGAAATATTGCATTTTGATTGGATTGTTGACCTCTTCAAATGTATGAATAGGAAAAATGTGAAGATAATCATACCTTGGGCCAGCAGGCAGCATGGTGGTTAAGGTGGCTGCATTCCCACATGATCAACTGCAGTTGGAGTCCTGGACTCAGTAGATTGAAAATCATTCTGGGCACAAGTGCATGTGTGTCCAAAATCCAGAGAGGAAAATGAAGGAGCAGGGATTGATTGCAACATGGTCATCTGCCCTGTAGCGAGTGATTTCTCACTTTCCCTCTCTCTGTCTCTCTCCTCTCTAGCAAGTGCATGTGCCCTATGGCAAAAAAAGAAAAGAAAAGAAATGAGAAAAGAAAATAAAAAGATAGTTATAGCTTTATATATTTATATTTAATTATATTTAAATATTTAATATCATAAATCAAACAAAGAAGGTAGACTTTTAGGAAAAAAATATTGGGAAAAGTCAAGAGTATAGGTTCCTATTTCTAATCATGTAAAGAAGACAGTGTAATACAATTTCTACTATATTCCTCCTTAAAAGAAAGCAAAAGCAAAATCCACTTTTTCTCCTTGAAATGTGTCAACTTCAAAAATAACATTATTTCATGTTTCGTGGATTGCATTATATATTTTTCTCTTTATACAAAAAAAGACTTACAATATAGCATGAGAGAAAATGTTTGTTTTAACAACTACTCAATTTAAATGTCTAGTTCTAACAGATTTATTATCTATTTTGTACTTAAGTTTTAATTTGTTCTAAAGCATTCTTATTCTAATGACATTTCACAAAGTAAATAACTATTGAATCGCTATTTGTCTCCAGTCTATTTTTTTTTTTTAATAGAGAGAGGGATTTTTGCTATAGACCATTTGTGCTTGCCCAAGAGACAGAAAGTAGGAAATCACACCCTGGGGTGATGGCCATGCCACAGTCCCTTCTTCATTCTCCTTCTGGGATTCTGGGCATGAGCAGACACACTCCCCGAGTTAGTTTCAAGCCTCTGGGTCTGGGATTCAAACCATGGTTGACTACATGGGAATCTAGCACTTTAACCACTATGCCACCTGCTGGTCCCATCCATGCTACTCTTAATGTTCAAGAACAAAAGGACTTAGAGAAAACACTTTCTTGGAAGAATTCATATTGTTTTATGCTTGCCAATATCATTGTTTACTTTGATTTCTATACACCAAAAAAAGTTGGTTTTGTTTTATTTTGTTTTGTTTACAAGCAAAGATAGAACAGATCAGTAAATTTTTATGACGCATATAATTTTTAATTCAGACTATACACTTCAAAAGTTGTGAAATTCTGGATGAAACAAATTTAAAGAAGCTTGGATATGATTTTTAAAAATATATTAATAAACCCTTTCAAGAAAGCCTTGAACATATAATGCCAAACCAAAAAAATATATATATTAAATGATCTCAATGTATATGATAGATAAAGATTACCCTCAAAGAGTTGATACGTATTACTTCTCATTTTCACGGTTAGTATTTCATTTCCATCACTGTAGGTCTTTACCTGTAATTCTCAAAGTGTGTCCATTGACCTTTGGAAGGTCCCACACACCCTTTCAAGGATCTGCAAAATAATCATTTTTTAAAAAGTTTAAGAATATTAAGATGTTACCTGCCTTTTTCACTTTCATTCTTTCTCTGAAGTTTCATGCACTTACATGAGGTGTCATGACATCATTGCTTTTATGGCTAATAGAATGTGTACTTATTAATGTTTTGTTTTAAAGCTTTCGTATTTTTGAATGCGATGAATATCAATGGATATTTTTAAAAAGTTCTTTGCTTTCTGTACATACAAAAAAGTTTTTTGTATTATTCAATAATTTTTTAAGAATTTGGGGCACCAGTAGGTGGTATAGTGGTTGAGGTTCTGGACTCCCACATGGCTGACTGCAGTTCAAGTCCTGGACCCAAGGCTTGAAAATCAACTCTGGGCACATGTGCATGTGTCGCTAAAATTCCAGGAGAATGGAGAAGAAGGGCTTATGGCATGACCATTGTCCCTGGGGTACTGGGGGCTGATTTCTTGCTTTCTCTCTCTCTGTCTCTCCAGCAAGCATACATCCCCTATAGCAATAATCTCTCAAAACAAACAACAAAAAATGAATTTTTATAAAAGCGGTCTAGACACCAAAATGTTTAAGAGCCACTGAGCTAAACTTACATATACGAGCTTAACTTACAATAGGCAGACTGTATAACTAAGGGTTTCTTCCAAGATATACTTACCATGTTTGTCTATACATTTTCTATGTCTTATGTACCTCTCCTGTTGCCTTTCAGAACCCTTTCTTTCCTTTCTTGTTACTTTATTGAAAGAGGCAATGATGGGATCAGTGAATGCATAATAGTTACATTGCTGGACACCCACGTAGGCAATTACAGTTCGAGTCCTGGACACAGCAGCTTAAAACACGCTGGATGCATGTGTGTGCATGCCCAAAATCCTGAGAGGAAAATGGAGAAGAAGGGGTTGTGGTGTGACCATCACCCCAGGGGATGATTTCTCACTTTCTATCTCTCTCCGTCTCCCGAGCAAGTGCACATGCCCTACAGCAAAAATCTCTCTAAATAACTAAAAAAAAAAAAAAAAAAAAAAACTCAAGTGACTTTTTAAACATTTATATTAGGGCCAACAGATGGCATAGCAGTTATATCACTAGACTACTAGACTCCCGTATGGCCGACCGCAGTTTGAGACCCGGACCTGGTGCATTGAAAATCATTCTGGGCATGTGCATGCATGCCCACGAACCCAGAAGGAGAATGGAAGAGAAGGGAATGCAGAATAGCCATCACCCCTGGGGAGGAGGGAGGTGATTTCTCACTTTCCCTCTCTCTCTCTCTCTCTCTGTCTCTCTCTCTCTCTTTGGTGAGTGCACACACCCAAAGGAAAAGAAAAAAATCTTTAAAAAACCTTTTGTATCACAAATTTAAAATATTTTATTGAGCATGATTTAGATTAAAATATGATTAGATGTCCATAAATATTGATTTTTTTCTTGCGACATTTGACTTTACCTACTAGTTGTGATCAAGCTGCTCTCACCTTAAGGTGGAGTGAAAGAAAGTTTTATAAATATAGAATAAATTTTATTTTGATTTTTATCTTGAGGTAAAAATTTATAGTTAAAATAACTGTCGATAAGTTAGTAGTTTCTTTTATTTTCTATTGTATTATCTACAGTGCTGATTCTGTATAGTGCAAATTAGTTGATTCAAATAGGAAAAGTGTAAAGATTTTTACTTTTTACCTAGTATTTAGTTCTATTTCAAGTATATAATTTAGTGAGTTTTTACATATTTAATTCTAAAAATGAGGTTTTGCATAGATATTTATTATTTGTAGACAGTATTATCTGAATTATCTATATCAGTTCATTATTTATTCACATTTATATATCCAAATTTTTAAGTGCATATTATGTTTCAGAACCTCTTCAAGGTAGTGATGATACTACAGCAAACAAAACGCAAAAATCACAGTCCCTGTGAATCTCCCATCCTAGTAATCTTTATTGAATGACCAATTTAAAGGTACCTGGGAAGAAGTGTGAAGAATGAGAAAAGTGTGAGTTTTGTCTACCTTCAACTGAGATGAAATAAGAATAATGCAGTCACTGACTTAAGTTTATATTCAACCAAACATTATCATGTTTTAAAATATCTAGAAAAGAGAATTAATTATATTTTAATTTGTTCTGGCTCTTGTTCTCCCTCATACTCTTTACAATTTACTGAGCTATAACCAGCTATAGGAAGAGAGGAAGTATCTGAAGATGGTCTATATGGAAAGGGTAGGAAGAGTAATGAAATTAATAGAGGTGAGATCTCATGGATCTGGACACGCATTTATCAAATAATTGTTCAAACTTCCTCTTAACTTGTGACCATTGATGAAATTTCAGTGGTGCAAAAAATAATATTCAGGGTTGTAGCATTAGCCACAAAAATCAGCTTGCCATTGTTTTTTATTCATTTACATGAAAATATGCTCAATGTTATTTTCTTATGGCAGAATTTAGTAAATCAGACTACTTGGATTCCATTTAAAGATAATATCTCGTTATCTAAGTATATATGATCTAAGTTTTCACAGTTTCAGGATTATGTAAGAACTTTCTTTTTCTTTTTTAAGAGAGATTTTTGCTATAGGGCACATAAACTTGCCAGAGGGACAGAGAGAGACAGAGAGAGAGAAAGTGATAAATCACCCCCTAGGGAAGATGTCATGCCACAACGCTTCTCCTCTATTCTCCTCTGAGGATTTTGGGCACGTTTGCACATGCTTCTGGAATGAGTTTCAGGCTTCCAGGTCCGGGACTCAGTCAGCCATGTGGGAGTTCAGCACCTTAACCACCATGCCACCTTCTGGCTCCACAGACATTTTTCAAAATGACTATATTTAGCATTACTTTCAACTCAGAGAATCTAATATATTTTACAGTAGTCTTTATTACTACATGACTTTTTTTCCCCATGATTGTCGGCTCTTAGAGTAACTGTTTGACAAACTAATGCAAATATAGTGCATGCAAACTGCAAAAAAAGAGAATATTTCTGCATCAAAAGAGAGTAAATTAAAATTGAAGAATTAAGAATTGACCATGAAAAAGTGATGTAGCTCTTCAAAGTTATTTTCTTCAAATATGATTCTATTAATTCCTTACTATTACTCTTTTAAAAATAAAGATCTTTATTGTCTTGGCATTTTTTAGCTCAGAGCTAATCATAAAACTTGGCATTTAATATGTTTTGTTCATTCTTTTTACTTGAACATGACTGAAATCATAGCCTAAATTTATGACCCATAAAGGACAATTATATTCTTAATTTATACTTATGAGACTGTCTTAAACATTCTTCCATCATTTACTATGAAATTTTGGTCCTCATATATACTGTATTTATTTTAAGTGGTTTCTTCCAAAATTAGCTATGAACTAATATCTCTAATAAGGAATATGTACTTCAAAGGCAACTTTATAACAGGAATGCAAAGGATTATAGTATACTAAGACATCTTTTTTTGCTTTTGTTTTTGTTATTTTGTTTTTAGGTTTTTACCATGGGCTGACTACACAGACAAAGTGAAAGTGAAAAATCACCCCTCAAAATAGATAGCCATGCCACAATCCCTTGTCCTCCATTCTCCTCTCGGATTTTAGGCACATACACCAACCATGAGTTTCAAGCAACCAGATCCAGGGCTCAAACCATGGGTGACCATGTGGGAATCCAGCGTTTTAAAGAACATGCCACCTGCTGGCCCCATCGTGTAATTTTTTTAGAGAATTATTTTATTTTTATTTATTTTATTATTATCATTTTTTTTTTTATTTGACCAGAGAGACAGAAAAAGTGAGAAAGCTAGCCTCTAGGTCCAGGACTCAAACCACAGTTGGTCATATGGAAGTCCAACACCTTAACCACCATACCACCTGTCAGCCCCCATCATGTATTATTTTTTATGTAAGGAAAACTTCCCTTCTATTACATTATTAGTTAAACTAACTTTACTTTCATTTATTATGTTGGACTTCTCTACTACTGTTTTTATTCTCTGAAGTGATTATTAATCATATTATCTATAATGCCAGAAAGTGAATGATTAATGAGCGTAGGAAACACCAGCAAATTACTAGTAATATGAGACAAAAACAAATTGAATCATACATAAAAATATGTGGGAAAATTCAGTCATAAGGTCATGTGTACAGAGAGGACAAGGTGGAAACACAATTAAGAGATTTACCAACTTTCCAGGGACTCACATCCCCATTTCCTTCTCTGAAAGAAGCTACTATATGAATGTGCAATATCTTAAGGAACATATTCTGATTTCTATAAGGAAAATACATCCAGTATTCCATTTCTCATGGTATGTAATGCTTTTCAAATGAAATATGTATATGTATACATATATTCCATTTATTTACATATACACACATAGATAACTATAATAGGTATATATGTATAACTATACGGACTGTAAAACATACGGTCACTGAAAAACTTGTCATCTTGAAAAGTTATTTCAGTGGCATCATTCTTTCCATTGCCTCACACAAGGATTTACAAATGACTGACATAAATATGAGAGTTGTCTATTTTCAGTACTTTCATTTATGGAAACTTATAACGTGGAGGTATGTAAACATGCCTATATATAGCTATATTGAAGCAATCGATGCCATTTTTCTAGTGTCCTGTTTCCTTTAAATTTTTGCAAATAAGATAAGGAATATACTGACATAAACTTAGAAAAATGTTAAACTTGTAAGATTGAGTATCTTTTCTTAAATGAACACCACTGAATTGTAATAGGGAACACAGAAAGTGTGATTGGACATAATTCAAGAAAAACATACTAAATAATGATGGTCACGATGAAACTAAAATCTGACCTTTTAGATCCACATTCATGTCAAATTGAAAAATGAGATAAAACTGCAAAATCTTTTTAGCAAAAAGAACAGCAAAAACAATAGCAATAATAAGGTAACAGGGGAGAGGGAGTTGGAGGAAGAAGAAAGAAAAGCAGGAAGGGGGTGAAGGAAGGGGAGGAACTGGAAGGAAGGGAGGGAAGAAGGGAGGGAGGCAGGCCAAGACAAGAAAGCAGAAAAGGTTCCTAAAGCAAATGCTAGCTAAGTTAAAATTGAAGCTAGCTAAAGAAATAGAAAAAAGATATATGCCCTAAATATATGATTTCTAAATCAAGTTATTCTACTTCCACCATAGGTGTAAGCAAAATCATTATTCATTGTTCTTCATTTCAAACATTTAATATTAAAATCCTATAAAGTGTATCTATGAAGATAATATTTAATACTCCCTCAAGCAAGTAATGTGGGTGATTATAAATTATCTATGTAATAAATTATTCCTGAAACAGTTGGAAATAGCTAGGCTGGACCAATGATTGACTATCACAGGAAGAAAGGTTATAGACCTTCTCAGCACTAAATTCCAAGATAGGCAGGGACCTCATCTTTTTCATATGATGTAGCTGGATGCAATATAAAAGTGGATTAACACTTTGTAGTTTCAATGTTCTCTTTCTGACATTAATTAGTGTGTGACCTGGAACAAGTCACTTAATCTTTACAGGGTTTACCTTTTCAAAAAAATTTTAATAGGCAAAATGATGATTCCAGAACAGGTTATTTTTATACTTCTTAGCAGCTTTTAACTTCCCGAATTCTACAATTGTCTGGTTGATCCGTGGCCTCTCAGCCAAGTGCTGCCACCGTGTGGTGGGTACAGTGATGGTTTGTGTATTTATGTATTCTAAAAGGGGGTAAAGCAAAAGAGCACACTGAGGATAGATGGGCAGTCAAAAAGACACCATCAGATTTAATTAAGGTTGGCTTCGGTAGAGTAATAAAACGCAATGCTGTCTAACCATCTAACAGCCAAAGAAAATGAATAGGTCAAAGAATAACTTAAAACATATTGAACTGCCTCACAGAAGATAAAATGTGTTTACCAGATAGGCTCCCTCAATAACTGAGTCACAAAAATGATTCAATATTCTAAGATTTATTCTTCCAGGGCCCAGAGACCCTCTATAAGAGTGAGCTTTTTCCTTTAGTTGTTACTTGGTAGTACCATTAGGGTTTAAAAAACAAGTAGACATAGAAAAAATGTAACTAATCTCATTTTTAAGGAGCTCCAAAAATGTGTTTATTATTTTTAAAAATCCTCCATTCTTATATAAACTAAATATTTTTCATATGTGTGATAAAACTGAGCTACAATATATTCATGCATAGTAGGTCTAGGATTTCTGTCTGAAACTGATTAAAACACAGTTGGAAGAATAAAGCAGAGGTGGAATATTTTTAAATGTTGCTTTGAAATCACAAAGTTATGAGAGATTATATTTTGTTTCAATGTGTTAAGATTTTATTTCCTTTAAGAACATAGAAAGAGAGAGAGTATACTAACATATGCCTCAGAACTTCTGACTGTCCACATACCAAAATGTGGGACCCACACAAGCTCTAGGGTCTATAATAGTGAGGGTTCCCACAGAATACTATATGTAGTATATCATCCATCAAACCAATTAAAAATATATGTATAATATTTATGGCTATTATGAACATTTTTGAAATTCACAAACCTGTGTTTAGTGTATTATCATTAATTATTTCCTTCAACCAAATCAGTGTTTGGAGAAATCGGATTAAAAATAAAATCTAGCTGAGAGATCACATTTTTCTATATAGTATGATAGATTAAGTTTACTATCTCTGATTTTTTTAATAGTATAAAATAAGTTGATTCTTCCAAGTTTTTATTTAAAGAACATGGAAAAAGATCAAACCTTCCATATCAAGCGGTCTTTTTGATGAGAGATTTATGATTTATATAAAACAAATAGACGGTTGGGAACCAGCAGTTAGCGTAATGGCTATGTCGCTGGACTCCCACGTAGTCGACCGCGGTTCGCGTCTCGGACCCGGTGGCTTAAAACTCACGCCGGGCGCGTGTGCGTGCGTGCCCAAGATCCCGAGAGGAGAATGGAGGAGAAGGGATTGCGGCGTGACCATCCCCCCTGGGGGGTGATTTCTCGCTTTCTGTCTCTATGTCTCTCTCTGTCTGTCTGGCGAGCGCACGCGCCCTATAGCGAAAACCTCTCAAAAAAAAAAAAAATAGACGATTAAAAAGTGAAATAGTTACTACATCATTCAGACGTTTCACTGTTGTTTAAGAGAAGAAGGATCGATGTATGGTGATGATGAGGATGTTGATTTACTCACTAAATATTGCTTGTTGATTTACTCATTAAATATTGTCCTGAGTTCCATGACAAATTTTTGAGGAGGTTACCAAGGGTCAAACACAGGCTCTGCTTCTAAGAACATGTAACAACTACAACCAAACATAGAAAGTGACCATTGCTTAAAAAGATGGACACATTATATGTAAGGAGAATCTGACTTAGGGGAGGGAGTTTCTGATTGGTAAGCCAAGAAAAATGCACGAAGCAGGTGTGCCTTTAAGATGAGTTTAATTTAGACACAAAAAGTGACAACAAAGGGAGGCATAGGAAAGTTGGGAAGAATAAAGCCAAACCAAAGGAACCAACGTTAATACTCTGAATGGGCTCGACGTAAAGCGTATGAAGGAGAGTTCTAGGAGGTAAATATGGAACGCAGGAAACATTAAAGGACTTTGAGAGGCGAACTAAAGAATTTGGCTGAAATTGTTAGATGTCTTGAAATTATGAAAGATCCAGCCTTGGATATCAAGTCCTAAATTCACTTTATTCATCTGAAAGTTTACATTAATGCAGAGTTAGCTGAGTTTGGTAAATTGATGCTTTTCTTTTTATGGTCTATTTCAATAGACAGCAATCATTAAATATCCATATTTCAGGTATCTGGGAATCAACTATTAAAATCATTGATTCTTAGCCCCAGGTTATCAAAACCTTTTCATATTTGTATGTTTTAACACATTTTATGCTATGGAGAGATAGCTCCTTTAAAAGGGAAGGTGCATTCTGCATTTTCATAAACTAACCAAATGTCAAGCTACCTCTGTATTACACTCATATTCAAGGATAAAAATGAAACATTAGTGGGGTATTAGATGTTTCGTTAGGATAATGTCAGTCATCTAGACTCTGAATTATTCACTTAATTTCTAACTGCTGAAGTTTTCTGTAGACTCAACATTAGACATAATCTTCTTTTTCAGCAGTATTAGATATACTAAATCTTGTTTCATTTTATATATATATATATACATATATATATATATATATATATGTTCTCCAGAGTAATGTTTCTTTCTTTTATACTTCTTTTAAAATATTATTTGTTTGCATTTGAAATATTAACAACTTTTCCAGTCTTCCTAATTAAGATTTCTATTTGAGAAAACTGTCTTCCTTTAAGTTAATTTCTAGCCTTGTTCCCTTCCTCTTATTACGTTGTTTTACATTCTATAAATATTTATCAAATTTCCTTGAAGATCAATAGAACTAGAAATTCTATCAGGTAAAAATCAAAGTTGATTTAAAAATTGAATATTTTGAAATATAAATATTTCTATAGTTTAGCGATTTCTATGTACTGTGAGGTTCTTGTGGAATGTCTACTACTAATTAAGTTTTGTCCTTAAAAATAGTGTACTGAAATTTTTTCCAGTTAATAAAATTAATATTTTTCATTCACTGTCACCCTAAAACATATGAACATTTTAATTCATTGAATTCTATAATGCCAGGAGAGTGTAATAGCTTTCTTTTGTTTATAATCAGTTGACTAATACGACTCATTATATTGTTAATGAGGCAGTTTAATCTATTTTAAACATGTTAATAGTTTCATCTATTTGATATTATCTTTATGCTCTTAAAATTATTCTTCAAAAATGTGCTTTCTTAACACTAAATATAACATCTGGGTTTCTTCTACATAAATTGAAGTAAATATTAAACAAACACTCCAACTATTCTGTTTCAGCAAAGTCCCATGAATGCCTAGTAATTCATTAATCACTATTTAATATCATTCAGACCTTTTTAAAATAGTTGTTTTGATTTATAGATACCTGATACACAATTAACTAATTATTAAAATTTCTTTCTATCTCTGTATTCTGGGGAAAGGATCATACCACCATTGGAATAGATATGAAAACTCCTGTTGGTTTGAGAGAATCTGCTATTGCTGAAATGGAAGAAAAAGGAAAAAGCTAAATCCTTTGCAAGTCTTACCCTTGGCCACCTTAATGGTGGACTCCTATCCTCAAAGGGTCTCCCAATATCTATATTTTTCCTTTTCTTTGTTTATATCAGTTAAAATTCCACAAGGTTAAGAATTATAATATTTTAATATAAATTTCCCTAAGAAACACATACTTAATTTTCATTTAATTTTCTTAAGAAACACATATATCATTTAAGATCATGAGAGGATGATCACCCAGTAGTATGAATTTACCCAACTGACTAAGAATCTCCTACTGGAACTGGATGTATTTATGGAGGAGAGAGAAGCTTAGAACACCTAGATTTAAAAGAGAAACAAGACATATTCATCGTCAAAGACTGTATAAGCACCAAGACACTAGGAAACAGCCATTGACAGAAAAACCCCAAAGAATGAGGTTATAGCAAATAAAATCATGAGAGAAAGAAGAGTGAGTCACTGGACTTCTGCTTTCTCTCTCCCTCATAATCACAATCGTATAAAGTGGGCATTCCCGATTCATTGTTTTAAACTGAGAAAGCTGAGAAAGCTGACTAAGAATTTACTACGGAATGAGGATGGGATTCAAAAACTGGATCAGTGTGACCACAGTTTATACTTGTTAGCAGAGGATAAACAGTAATTTCAAAAACCTGCTGGAGAAAGTTCTCTCCCACAAAATAAAAGAAAGCACTTACCTTCTTTTCCTTCTTTTTGCATCAAAATTTCCTTCTAAATCTTCTGTAAATCTAGAACTCTGCTAACAATGTTAGTACTATGCTTCTACTGAATAAATTAGAGTTCAAGTTGATAATGTGTCTATGGGACCAGGAATTCTTGTATGAAAAAAATCAAACATGAAATTTTTGAAACAAGTTCTAGCCATAAACTAGGAAATGCCAAAGGGAAAACAAATACCTTTAAATTTTTAAAACCTGCTAGAGATAGTTGGTAGAGCTACATACAAACAAGCACAAAATTTTCACTCTCTTCTTAATGTTATTCTATTTTGCTTCTTCACTTCTAAAGAGAAAAACAGATTATTAGATATTAATTTGTAAAATAGAGCAATTTCCCTTATCCTGGTATTTCTATCTACCCAAGACTTCCTAAACTCTTTTCTCCAAGAACTAGCCAAAATTCTTATTTGTGTGCTCTATCATTACTGCACTGCTGAACACAGGAACCACAAAGGTACTGATAGACTAGTTACATACCATTTAACTCAGCATAAAAATTAAATGGCTTTTCCCTAAAAGTGGTTGTTTTTCTTTTATGTCCAATAAAAACAGTAAACTAATGTAGTGTTGCCCACTGTGCATTATCAAAAACGAAAAAGCAGGTTGAGAACTGCAGAGTTCCTGCAATAGCTGTTTCTTATACTTGTAAATTAAGAAAATATATATTATGCATTTAGAGATTAATGTGAGCTTTATTTATTGACTGTGGTGTTGACTCTTCCCACACCATGCAGCAAAGCCTACCAATCACCGGCCTGCAGAAAGCTCTGTGTCCACCGGCTCCTCGGGCAGCAGCTTTGGCAGTGGGTATAGCGTGGACAGTGAAGGAAGCAGCAGCACTGCAGGGGAGACTAATCTATTTCCTATTCCAAGGATGTAAGTGCTTCTCTTTTTATACTACAAAGTTACAAGCATCATGAGTAAGGCATTCTTAACATTTCACAGGAAATAACTAGATAATTATCCAATTCTGAGTCATTGTTCCTAAAACACTTGAACCATCTATGCCTGTAAGAATAGCTTGCTTAGGAAGGATTCATTCAGGTCATTCTAAGGGTAAATGCTGGTCATTACCAGGACTACTTAATCAGTAGAATCTGTATTTAATAGAAAAGCCTCCAAAATAATAACTTAGCCATGCTAGAATAAAGTTCAGCAGCATCGCATTGATGCTTTAATTACATAATGACCAAACACAAACTTAATGGCATTTGAGTCAGATTAATTTGCTTTGAATTAGGGGAGATTTAAACATATTCAAATAATCTCTATATCATACTTGAAATATTTAGATGACAGGTTGGACTAACCATATAGACTTTTCAACTATACATCTCTCTGCAATTAAAAATGGAAGGTTTTGAAGTGCTTCCATATTTTCTAGAAGAATTATCAAGGACAGTATGTCCTCTGGGAATAAGGCTCATTTATAATATGGTATAGCTCAATAAATCAGTTTACAAATCAAATATAAAACTAAAGCAGACTGTGTTTAGAATGTGCTAGAAAAGTTTTAATCATATTGGTAGCAAAATTTAGCAGTATTCAAGATACGTATGTAGACATCTGTTCCAAGATCAAAATCAAAACTTCCCAATCTTTCCTTCTCCTCTCCTTTGACTAGTCCTCTGGATTTTCAAAACACCAGCTGGGCCATCCAATTCCCATGATCAACCCACGGAGAATCTAGCCTGGTTTTATAAGACTTGGAAGCTAAAAAGTAGCTCTTGTATTTTCAAATGTTTGAGAAAAGAAAAATAATATTTCTTGACATGAAAATGATGTGAAATTGAAATTTCAGTCAACATAAAGTTGTGTTAGAACACAGCCTCCTCCAATAGCTTATGTGTTGCCTGATGCTACTTTCATAGGTCAGGGTCAAGACTTAGTAGATGCAACGGAAACTATGACCATCTGGCCCTTTACAGAAAGGCGGTCATTGTTTAAGGGACTTTTTTATCTTCTCCAGTGCTGAGTGAATAGAATGGAATTTCTATTTCTCTTTGTTTTAATGTCAAGATTTTTCTGATATTTTTCTTTTGACTCCCAGAATAGTTCTAATATTTAGATAATGGTTCAGTTTACAAAGACAAAATAATAGGGAAAACGGATATTTACAGTGAAAAAGATTTATTAAACTTATTAATTTTTTCTGTAAGCTGTGACTGTCATATGAATTTACAAAGATTTTTCATAATTTGATATCCTCCCAATTTATCGGTGCCTTACAAATTGTGTAAGTTATCACTGCTAATGGTTATATCTTCCTGAGAGTAAATTACATTATTTTCTCAGTACCTGAATGTGTTGAGAAATAGATTATTTACTTCTTACATACCATATTTCAGTGTCATATTCTCCCATTTTATTATCTCTCTTGGAAACCAGAGTCTCTCAAAAGTGCTTAAAAGACTACTGTTTAGCCATATGAGCACAAATAAAATTCACTTTTTTCACACGAGTACAAAATATATGTAAGAAATTGTATTGGTAGTTCTTTTGCTTGCCTTATCACCTAACACAATTGCTGCCTGGACTAGTATTAGCATTCAATAAATATTAGAAGATTATTTACTGGAAATTCAGAAAAAAATTACATCCTTCATACAATCCAGTTACTTTTTCCTTTGTACTTCATGTAACTTCACAATGTGCAAAGGCTTTTGTACATATTCTTTAAAATGTACCTCATATAAATGTTGGCTAATTATCTAGATTAAAATCAGTTTTCATGAGAAGCAAAAACTGTAGCCAAATCTCACCATTAAAATATGAATTTTAGGGGCTTAGCAGGTGATGTGATGATTAAGGCACTGCCTTCCCATATGGCCGATTGCAGTTCGAGTCCCAGACTTGGTAGCTTGAAAATCACATCAAAAGTGTGAGCAAGTGTACCCAAAATCACAAGAGGAAAATTGGGGAGAATGGATTGCAGCATGGCCATCTCCCCTGGGGAGTTTGATTTCTTGTTTTCCCTCTGTCTCTCTGACAAGCACACATACCCTATAATGAAAACAACCAAAAAAATTAAATTCTAGACCTCAAGAACAAATCTAAAGATTATCTAATATTTATTTTTATTACAATTACTCAAAATTATAACTATTTTTGAGAAGTTTGGTGTAGTATAAAGATATTAATTTTTAGTATTCTGATCTGCTAGATTAATAGCACTACAAAGAGCCTCACTTTCAGTTGAGTTTGGCTCGGTTTGGCTCTTTCTACCAGATACTATACTGCTAAAGGTGAAATTACTGCTTAATTATGAATTTTTTTTGCCTCTCTAATTGCAATAGATAGAGCAGTTTGTGTCATTTTTAACTAAAATACTTTGTCTTGAATCTCAAAGAAAGTATAACACAAATTGAAATCATGTGTCATTGCCTAAACAATACTCCTCTTGTTGAAACACACTCCAGTGTTATTGCAGGTTCAGGTCCAACCACGGTCATAAAGCAAATATTGCAATAACAGAGTGGTATGAATTTTTTGATTTCCCGATGCACATAAAAGTTATATTAATACAATAATATAGTCTAGTAAGTGTGCAATAATATTATATCTAAAAAAAAGTTATGCACTTTAATTAAAAAGTACTTTATTGGGGCCAAACAGTAACACAATGGTAATACAACCAAACCTACCTGTGTCCTAAGGCCTCCCTGGTGGATGAAGGTGTATCCCTCATGTATGTCTGTGAACTGCTTGCTAAGGATGGTGGTAGCGAATGACCTGAGCACCCTGTTTGCAGAGTGCCCCATTCTGTTTCTCTCACATGGGAAAAATAAATAAATAAACCTTAAAAATATTTTAAGGCTGAGTCAGCAGATAGCATGGTGGTAAGGTGGCTAGATCCCACATCGCTGATTGCACTGCGCTATTTAAGCCCCAGACCTGGTGACTTGAGAAACACAGCAGGTGCAGGTGCTTGAGTGCCCAGAATCCTGAGAGGAAAATGGAGGAGAAGGGA